ACAAGGCGTTTGAGAAAACAATCCATCCATACTCAGTAGTAAACATACACAACAAACATCACAATTAAACCATTGAATAGCGGAAATATTCAGCAGTAATTCATAGGCCACATTCGGCCAATAACATGGGCATGCAAGCCTAAAAGTAGTTTATAACAAATAAAAGTATCCATGAGCGATGTTTGGTAATTTGAAAGAAAACGAGGAAGCACGAACCACGTCTTCCTTGATTTGATGTCACCCGTAGAAAGGTGCAGGTAGCAAGCCCTAGCTTCAACCTGAAAATGGTGCCCCCCCCCCCCCCCCCCCGAAGGGGTCAGTACAAGTACCGAGCGAGTAGCAGTCTAAATAGAGAATAACTAGCGTTTCAAAGACAAGACCAAAACGTAGGGTGATACTTATATAAATAGTCCTTCCCCCCAAGTTAAGAAAAACTTAATAGTATATATACACTTGGAAAATACCCGATCCGTAGATCACCGTTTTATTTGGGGAAAATAGTAATAGCCAATATTCTTGACTAAAAACCTCAATCCACCCATATACCTATGAGTGTATAGGACTCTTCCTTGTCCATATTTCAATATCATAATCTATGAGTTTTGAGGATCAAAATCCTTGGGTACTCCACCAATTTATATTTGAGTGTTAAGGACTTTTAGTCCTAGGGTCCTCCACCAATTTATTATCCGAGTGTTAAGGACTTTAAGTCCTAGGGTCCTCCACCAATTTATAGTCCGAATGTTAAGGACTTTAAGTCCTAGGGTCCTCCACCAATTTATAATCCAAGTGTTAAAGACTTTAAGTCCTAGGGTCCTCCACCAAAATATGAGTGTTAAGGACTTTAAGTCCTAGGGTCCTCCACCAAAATATAATATGAGTGTTAAGGACTTTAATCCTAGGGTCCTCCACCAAAATATAATATGAGTGTTAAGGACTTTAAGTCCTAGGGTCCTCCACCAAAATATAATATGAGTGTTAAGGACTTTAAGTCCTAGGGTCCTCCACCAAGTTTATAATCCTATGATCAACCTCCTATCAACCTAGATAGAGTCTATATTATATTTATTCATTCATAGCTAAATCAATACATAAAGCTTATGTATCACAATTCATGCAAAGCCACACGTTCATATAAATTCATAATTAATTAATACCATCTGGTATTAATTAATCCATTATTCGTTGGTCCACGTTTTCGTTGACCGCCATTTCAAGCCTTATATGTATCAACTTAATCATCATATAATTAAGTTAATAATGTTCATTTGTGCTCCTCTTACACTTCAAGCAAACATGCATTTTATATGATTCCTCATAACATATTTCATGCATAAACAATTAATTCCTTTCATACAAACTTAACCATGTTGGCGAATCACATGTTTAAATACCTTTTAAACATAATTATGAACACATATAACAGTTATTTAGGTAATCTCATAATTAACCCAAAAGTTATAAGATATTAAGCCGTCCACTCACCTTAAATGAGCCTTAGTGTGTTCTACGCTCCTCGGTTGAACTCCGGCGAAACTCCGGCGGACTCCGGCAAAACTCCGGCGAACTCTAGAAATACTTGAGTCAAGCTCCTAACATGATTTTATCATCACAAAACCCATATCAACACAAATAACCTCTAAAAGGTTATTTTCCGGCGAACCGGTCGTTTTGGCTTCTAAGTTCGTTCTTGAACTTAGAACCACCTTCCAACCCCCCATTCTACACTTCTAAACATGTAGAACAATCCTAGGGGTCCTCAATATGGTATACAATTCATATGATAGATAAAAAGGAAAGGAAGAGTTATTATAAGGTTATCACCTTAATCCTTCACACTTTCCCTAACTTTTTCCTTCTTTAAGCCTCCTCCTTGGACCTCTATTATTGAGCTCGGATTTTCCAGCTATGGAGGCTTGGTTGAGAGCTTCTTCCTCTTTCCTTGTGGTCTTGGTCGAGCTGGGGAGGTAGGGGTGAAAGATGATGCTCCCTTTTGTCTCAATTGAGCAATAAGAGAGGGTGAGGGGTCCCTTTTGGTACTTTGATGCCAAATGCATCTCCTCCACTCATTCATTTGTCAACCAGCCCCCATCAAGTCTAATTGAGCACAAAAAAACGTCCCTCATGTGGCCCCCACTCATGTGGGAGGTCATCCCTTAATGTCCATAATTGTGCAATCGGCCCCGAAAGTTGTATTTTTCGGACTGTTTTAATTATATTTTATTTTATTGGGTCAAATAAAATATATTACGTGATTCCCATCATTATGAACTCTTATAATGAGTATGCAATCCTCACCTTAAATTTAGAAGTCTCCGAAATTCATTTCGGATTGTTATGTGATAAATTGCCAATACCGGCAATTGGGCCTTGTTTGACCAACCGGTCAACCCTATGCCCTTTCCGTGGCCCACTAAAATATCCACCACCATATACATGTTATCTAGGCCCAGATGAATATCATAGGTGGTCTCAGAAATGTAGGGTGGTCCCCGCTCCCGATGTGGGCCCCACGTGCATTTTACTATTCGCGCAAAAGTGATAACAAAATTTACAACATCGTAAATTCATTAACCATTTCGTAAGGTTCAACACATGATTTACATAAAAGTAATTATAATTGGGGACGGTGTCACATATAGACCCCTTTTCAACTAAAATATCTTTCATTTAGGCTTCAAGGTCCCCCCAATAAACCGGATCATAAATTTTTCATTCGCAGAAGAATTTAGCGGTGATTCAACTTGAGAATATTTTTCAGGATTCAACTTCTTAACGAAAACATATTTTTTCATTGCCCCCTTTTGACTTAAGGCTGCCTTTTCTAATCTTTGCCTCTTTTTCTCTTTTTCCCAACCAGATTCACCCATTTTATCAAACACCTTCACAATAGTAAAAAAAACAATAAAGTGATTCACATTTTGTATGGGAAGATCATTCCTTATTGAAATTGGACCCGATATATAGGTCATAAAAAATATATATACTCTCTGATCCATAAAATTCTTTTCACTTATCATTTTGGGAAGTCTAACAAGAATCTCATTTCTCGTTTTCGAAATTAAAATTTTGTGTGACTAACGTTCATTAATCTTTTTTTTACCCAACTATAATTACATGTTTCCACTTTATTCTTACTTTTTAAAATTTTGATATAAGTCAAATCGGAAAGAATTTTGTGGGAGTAGTCCAAATTCCAAATGCTAACTTCAACTAATAATGCAATGATAACTTCTAAAATCATATATATCCACCAGTGCAATTAGCTAAAAGGGTTGAATATTTGTAAGTATTTTACATAGAGATTCAACTAATAATGCACTGATAACCTCTAAAATTAAATTCTTAATATCCCCATCCCCTAGCTAGCCTCTACAAGAATATTATAGGGTCATGTCATTGAGGTGAGTGAGCATGTTTAAATGTGGCAGTGGAGGTAAAAGAGCACTTGTCCATTTACATGTGCAATGTCCTATTCTTTATTTCTAAATGCAATAATTGTACATTATTATTTATTATTGAGGGAACATGAAAACGGTAAATTCGTAGGATAATATTAATAACAATAAAATCGACAGCATCGAGCTAAGGTCATTAAAGTGTCTCACGACAAAGCTAATATAATGTTGTTTCTCACAAGATTATTATGGTGAAATCCGATGGTTCATTAAGTCAGAAAATTAATTTTATTTTATTTCCACGTTTAGCTTGTAATGGTGCATGTCCAACGGCCACTTCCAGATTAGATTCTTCGAACTAAGTTTTATTTAATTAAGGCTAAAGGGTCAAATAGGTCACTGTACTGGTCGTATACGTTCAATTCAGTCTCTGAACTAAAAAAATGTTCAATTCACACCCGAACCAATAAAAAATGGTTCGATGTAATTTTTTACGGGTAAACAACGGGTTATTTTTTTAATTTTTTAATTGTTTCTGTTTTTTATGTTCGATTTATTGCAATTTTGACACTTTTTAATAGTTTAGGGGGTGCGAATTGGACCCTTTTTACCGGTTCCTTAACCTTAAAAAAAAAAAATTGAACCTTTTTTGCCGGTTTGGGGTGTGAATTGGACCTTTTTTAGTTCAGGGACTGAATTGAACCTACAGGACCGGTTCAGGGACCTATTTGACCCTTTATCCTTTAATTAATCTCATAGATTAAGTTTTATTTAGTTTCCATTTCGTGATTATTTATTATTTCAATGCCTTTCGTTAATTTTTTTAAAGCACCTTTCGTTAATTTTTTAATACTCCGAAAAAACTAAAGTTAGAGTCCATTTGGCGGCTTGTTTTCAGCTTATTAGCCTTATTCATCCTATTTTCACTAAACGCGTGATTTTTTATTTCACGAGCCGAGATGTGTATAAATCAAGTAAGTTAGGTTGTAGTTACTTTTCTAGCTAAATTAATTGAAGCTACTACAAAAGATCATTTCAGCCATTTTTATCTAATTACTTCTTTTTTATGAATAATATATATTTAAAATATTTTTCTTAATTCGACAAAATTAGTGAATCTAGTTACTTCTCTCAAAACATTATGAATTTCAGGGGTATCACCAAACGAGCTCTTAATCTTTTTCAATAAAGTAAGGCTAAATTTGTACTTCACTTAAGTACAAATTTAAATATTGTTATTAGAGGTTTATCTTTAATTTCCCTCAATTACCCCATGTCCCCATCAGTGATGATGATGATATGAGGTTTACTTTTAATTTTAAATTTTTATTGGGAACAGGAGATATAACTCTATTGAAAACACAGAGTTGGGAGAACAAAACTAAACCAAAAAAGTTTAGCAAAGCTATTCAAAAAAACAAATACTCCCTCCGGTTCTGAAACAAGTTTCACATTTGACTTCACACATATTAAGAAAATAAATTTGACTTTACTGTGGAGTGCACTGTTTGGCACTGTTTCAACATTGTTTGACACTGTTTTGATGTAGATAAGTTGCCAAATAAGGAAATGTTTGAAAGTGGAACTTAATTTTGAATCTGCCCGAAAAGGAAAGGTGGAACTTGTTTCAGAAACTTAATTAAAAGAATCCAAACACGTGTTTCCGCAAACACGTACGAAAACAGGTATGTTCCCCGCCAAAAAAGTCAGACATACATTACTCATACTACGTACGAGTATTAAATATACACCACTGGAAAAGAAAAATGAGAAGAAAAACCAATAATTATTTCCTCCAAAAAGAAACCATATCTCATTCTTGATTTATTCCTCCAGATTTCCTTACCGCCCCGATCTCACGCAGCGATCATGTATGGTCATGATGATGCCAGTTGGCAGCCTTTGGTATCTTATGATGACACGTGTTGCTTCCCTTCTTTCTTAATCATCATCAACGGCTCAAAATTTTCAAGCTGGCAAAATTGATGAATTATGCATTTCTAAACATGCTTGGTCCCATAACATACTTCTCCCCAGCCTTCATTATCACTATCCGCCTTGAATTCACCCCGCACGCTCCATTTCACGGATTTAGTGCTACCCGTCTCATTTTGCGGCGTTTCATAGTTCAATTTTTCAACGGTTTGATGATACCCGCTATTATCCAAACGGGCACATAGTTTTTTGACATATGAATAGAAATAAGGTGACAATGTGACAATAGTAAATCATATTTGACTGCATTTCTAGAGACAATATTTATTCTATTTTTGAAAAAGCCGCTCTTATTTTAGAAGATTACATTATATATTAGGACTCCAAGTTAGGTAATTTATATAAAGAATGCTTTTTATTATTAATACACCTCCAATAGGTCCATTCTACACTATATTGTCACACCAAAATAAAACTTAAAACTATGTATGTACCAAATTAAACCCCCCTGCCCTAGGGAATCTGCAAATTAAAAAGCTGCTATTTATTTTTTGGGGAGGCCGATATGGAATTCTTATACGTATAAATAAAGAATCCCAAAACACAAAACAAAAAAAATCAAGCATCCTTAAAAGATAAAAATATATTTAAAATAGACATGTATATAATATGTAATCTATCTATATTATCACTTCGGCAGGTATCTTTATTTCCATATTTTGGTTGTTTTTTATTATTTTAACCTCCCTTCCGGGAAATATTGTTGAGGATTTGAATTAATTGAAAAAAAAAACTGGTCAACGATATTATCAAGTTTCTCTCCCATCTTCGTTCCAAGGGATATGATCGAGTCTCCTCCTTTTGTAAGAGGGGGAGGAGGATGACGTGTCACTTGACAATGTTGTCGGCCTAGCCATAACTCTGACCTCTGGTAAAACTCTTGGAAATCTATTTGCCCTTATTCCGATGGCCCCATTTCTCCGCATTGATTGGCAGCAATCAATTATTTTTTCCTGCACAATTCGGTAATTTTTTTTTAATTCTGTGTATGATTTTGAGCCATTAATGGTAACCAAATTCAAACATACATTCAATTATTCAAACTTGGACGGCTGGCCCAATGTAGAGTAATAATGTCTATCCTAAACAAGCCCAGCCCACCAGGTGCATTACTATAATCTACTTGGTATACCTAAGAGGATATATTTACTTCACGGGTTAGTCAGAGTTATTTATTACTCCGTAAAACATATTTTACTAACTTGTTTATTCGGAGATGCATAATAAACATATGTTTACTTCACATAGCAAATACATTTATTAAAATATGGTTTAACTCTAAAATGTCAATTATAACCTTCAAAAAATTTAACCCGCACAACTTTCATTATGGGATGTAAGGGGGTATACTTACCTATATATATAAAAAAAAACTTAATCAGTTGCTTAGTAAAATATGGGTACAGCTTCAAATGACCAGTTATATTTTCTTACCTTTTTGAGCCCAGAACACCATGATTCAACATCCTCAGCATTAACAAAAGAGAAATTTGGAATATCATTGGCTGAAGAAAGTATTGTGGCAGCAGCAATGCATGATGGCCTGTACTCAAGGAAGCTTGCCTCTGACATTTCAAACATATTTTGATGAACAAATAATCATCAATTTTTTAGTGCACAAACTACTTTTGTGGTTGAAAGTTGAAAATTTTAAATCAAGATAAATAACTAAAATTTACATATTTAGAGATGACACTTATTGACACCGGTGTTTTAAACTGTAAAGACCAAATCCAGATATGGAAAAAGTCAAACTCAAAATAAGGAATTAAAACGAAATTACGTTCCCCAAAAAATAAAAATTGCTATCTTTGAGAAAAGAGGTGAAATAACGAGATTTGATTCATAAATAGTCAAGGTCTTAGAGCCCGTTTGGTAGAATGAAAATCGGCTGATTTGGTTCATTCTGCTGAAATTTATGAAGTTCTGGCTGAAGTAGCTGCATTGGTTGATTCTGCTTATTTAAGAAAAAAATAATTTTAAAATATGTTTTAGAGAAAATTCCCTAAAAAGGGGTAAAAAAGTTTTGAAATTCCAAAATAGGAGTATCATGTTTTTTATTTCTTGAATAGGAGTAAATTTCTGCCAAGTTTGGCATTACTAGGCTTTAAAACATGGCATTTTTTCCCAAACTTGGCATATTACTCCTATTCAGTGAATAAAAAACATGATACTCATATTTTGGAATTTCAAAACGTTTTTGCTCCTATTTAGAGCAATTTCTATATGTTTTATTAATAAAATAAAAAAATATATGTAAAAATAGCTAAAATGGTTATCTACTGTAACTTTAGCCAATACAGCCAGAAAAGTAACTACAACCTTACTTTTTCTGCTTATTACATAATTCAGCGCGTGAAAACAAAAATTACGTGTTTGGTGAAAAAGTTGGCTGATAAACTTGATAAGCCGAAAAACAGTGTTGTCAAACGGTAATGATGCCATTATTATATAAAAGCATATATTTTTGGATACATTGGAAAAGTATAAAAGCATAAATACATACCTCGTATATTTGACAAAATGATGTCGGTGGCTTTTGAGATAAAGAATCCTGAATAGGTCCCTGTTGGATCAAGCTTGCTCGCGAAGAAGCCGAGAAAGCTAAAGGGTGTGATTGATCTTAGCCTCCAATCCAATACACTCAGCACATGAACCTCCATTCTGCGTATTGTCTTTGGTTCAAATATGTATTTTGGACCTTCAACCTGTCATAAATTCCTTTCACTTTATAATAATTATTATAAATATAATATGTGGCTTGATTTTATATATTCATATTCGTTTGGTAACTTTGATTGTGAGCGTATCGGTTCCAGTAGTCAATTTTTTATAAACACGTAATCTTTGACTTCACATGCTGAATTTTGTAATACAGAAAATAAGTAAAGTTGATTTCGACTCAATTGACATAAGTTACTGTAGATTACTATTTCAGCTGTATATTTTTTTCTTAATATCATTAATAAAATATATTGTAATTATAATTTTTTCCACATTTCAGCAGATTCAATCGACTTATGTGTTGAGTAGGGCTTCCAATGTTGGATTTAGGTTAACATGACCCCTCCTTCCAAAATTCTGCTACATTTGCGTCTCTATTTTCTTTTCTAAATGGACCATAGAAAAAAAATGATGACACCCTATCCCTGAGCGCCCCCAACTCCGATCGGACAGTACGTTGGGAGGATGTAAATTGGACTATAATCTCAATCTGACAGATAGAGAGTGGGCCTTTGTGTCCGATACTTGCAGAGACCCTATGCATATTTTAGCACAGTAATCTCTCATCGAAGTTACCGGGATTCGTACCCGTGACCTAACTCTTGTGTCACTCCCTCGCTACTACTTGAGCTACGTCCACCGGTTGAATGGACCATAGACGAATTACCTGAAGATGTAAAAGAGATGGGACCAGCGATTCCTCCATTTTAGCAGCTAATGACAAGCACGCAATGGAAAGTAGTTGCAGCGGCCAACCATTTGTCATCTGAAATAAAACATAACAAATTTAATACTATCGAATTATCAAATAATCTCCAAATGAAAAAAGTACGTGTAAATTCCTGAATTTCCGCTGACTTAATTAAATCTGGGACTATACTTAGAGCATCTCCAATGCTATAGTGTGCACGATGCACATGTGGCATGAGAGATAACCACATAAATATTAGCAAATAAATTATTCCTCTCCTTATCTCTCATGCCACATGTGATATTTTTATAGCATTCGAAATGCTGTTAAAATGAAAGAAAGTAGAAACTGATATTTTTATACAACCGGACAAAATTCAAAAGTAAAAATGCTTACTAGTGGAGTAGTGGGTATAAGTAGTGACATTATTGTACAATTCAAGTACTGTTTTTTTTTTTACTTTTAATTAATTTGGAAATGGTTAGAAAACAAAACATAATATTCTCATCCAGCTTTTACTTTGCCAAATTCTCATACAAACAAGTTTGTGTTTGATTTTTCAAATAGACTTATGCATATAAGGATGGCATAAAGGGTGATATATAAAAGCAATTTTAAATGAATTCAAAAAGATGATGGGTATAAAGATATGTTCGTGTACACTGTACCCCACACCAACGTTATACTTTTACGCATAGATCAAGCTACAAAGCTAACTAAGTTGGCCCTCTTTAACATTAAAGTCCTTTACAAAGTGTTTAAGAAAGTCAAATCGTCTATTAAGACGAAAATTTGAGCCCTAATCAGTGAGAATGCACACATCATAATTTTTTTGCCTTTATTTTGCAAAATATAGATACTTTTTGTCCTTTCCTTTTTTTCCTGTTCCTTTTTTCTTCGTATGTCGCTTTTTTTTAATTTCGATTTTATCCAGGGTTGTCGAATCTTTTTTCCCTACAGATCTAATTTAAAGTCACTTTCTTTCTAATGTGACATCTACGTATCAATACTCTCTCCCGTCCTAAATAAACTTCACACTTTCTTTTTTGTGTAGGTCCAAAATAAACTTCACATATCTTCTTCTTTCCTTATTTGGCAAATTATCTACATCAAAATAGTGCAAAACAGTGTCAAACGGTGTCACAACAGTGTACTCTACAGTAAAGTCAAATTTATTTCCTTAATTTGTGTGAAGTCAAAGTGTGAAGTTTATTTAGGACCAGATGGAGTATGCAGTAATATTTCCATTTTTATATTGGTTTTTAGTTTATACATGAACACTTTTAATTGCACATTTGTACAAAGTACAAGAGTTTTAATTAATTAGTATTATAATATTCGTAAAATTGGAAGCTTGATAATTAATAAAGTAATAAAGTAGTCGAAAAAGTAAAAGTTGTGTTTAAAGTTTGAGTATAATAAAGTGAAATGTACATATTTTTAGCCAAAAAATAAACGGAGATTCTTATTTTGGGATAACCCAAAAAGGAAACTAGGACCGATAAAATGGGATGGAGAGACTAATAAGTATACTATGATCAACAATGATGATGAACAGATGAACATTCATATCCTAAACATCACTAATTAACTAGCGACATAGTTTAATTTAGGAAATTACTAATTAATTGCCCACTAAGTAATTTTTTATTTCAGGACACGCATTTAATTTGCAATCGTAGACCGTGGATTATACTTTATCAAAGTTAAAAGTTAACACTTTGGCTAAATGCTTATATGCTTAAAAAATATACTAGGAATTGAGATATTTATTTGAACTATTTTCAGTTCCAGGCAGACCAGACCAGAACATACTTGGACATTTGTAAAATAGTAAAATACACAAGGACCAGATATTTACGAGATCGGACCAGAAAATTTCAGTCCACGCAAAAACATCCTTGGAATTAATTTTTTTATTTTAAAAGCGAAAGTTTCTGAAATATGGGCAAACATGTTATGGAATTTCAAAATAAGATTGTTATATTTTTCTTTCCAAAATATGAGTAATGTAACAATATATCTACTGTCATTTAGAGTCATTAGTGCCAAAAATAGTTGGAGTACTAACATTCTTAACATGACAACATTACTCTTATTAATGGCAGTATTTTCAATTGGTAATGACTTATTTTTCGAAAAGAAAAATATAATTGAAATATTTTGAAATTCCAAAACTCCTTACTACTGATTAGGCCAATTTTCTTTTTTAATTAATGATTCTCCTTTTCATCAAGTAAAACTAAAAAGGTATGAAAAATATGTGTATTATTACAGGCAGGCGGCGAACGTTGAGGAAACGATCAAAGTAATTGACGGCAAGATACGCCGTCAGTGGCTGGAAACCGTAATATCGCTGGACCTGCACGGAACACCAATAAAAATGTAAAACGGAGTTTAACAAAACGTCAACCGTGAACCCGTTATTTTCCTGATCTTCAAAAGTTATACCCCGGACTAGACTAATTGGGCGCCGAAAGATCTGAATGTACCCGCCGTTAATTGGGGTTTCTAAGTCATAAGAAACCGGCGGCGGAACCGAACGTTCGAAGACGCGCCGCCGTCTAAACCGATGTACTGAGTAAGAAACACTCAGCACACGACCTCAACGGCGGATTTACTAGTCGCACGGGTGGCGGCGGATCTTTTGCCACCGTGAAGATCTGGAAACATCCAGACCATCCAGGATTAAGCAAGTGTACAATCAGATTCAAGCATTCAATACCTTTAGAATCCATTGGACGGCGCCGTCTCTGGCGGCAGCGTTGAGTGATTGAGAACCGAATCGCTCGGCGTAGTCAACTCCGGGGACAAAATTCCGTTCGTCGTTAATTAGTCCGGCGATAGATTCATCGAGGTCGGCCTCGGGGGGAGGAGGCTCAGTATTCTCCGACGAAGAAATTTCTGGCGCCTCTTCAATACCACCGGAAAATATGCTACCGGAATCTTCTCCGCAGAGCAGGTCGGAAAAGCAGTCAGAGCAGGGGACTGGCATGATGATTGGACCTTGAAGGTTCCGTACCTCATTCTCTAATCATATTTGTCGCCGATTTGCTTATTTGGACCATAGCAATGGTGGGGGATGTTCAGGGAGCCCGTCGGAATGTTAGACGTGGTGGAGTAGTGATTTAGAGAGTTGGTTCTATCTCTCTTTGACGGTTACCGGGCTGTTTTCTCTGAAATATCTCCAATTGCTATATAGCACGGATGATTAGCATTTTCTATTTCTTTTTTTATTTTTTACAACTTAAATAAAAATAGAAGAGTTAATTTTAATTTACAAATTACTCCACTACTTTTGTAAATTTAAGAACAAAATCGCTCCCCGCTGCTATTTGTATTTTTTAGTGACACAAATACCAATTTTTTAAAAGAAATTACTCTGAATGGGAGTAAATGATATTAAACGATAATATGCACCATGGGTAGACATGTCTTATACTACCTCCGTCTCTTAAAACTTTTCCAAAATTGACTGACACAGAGAATAATAAAGTAAAAACTGTGTAGTTGAGGTTTGTGCAGATGAAAGAGAAATAACAGAAACCATAAAATAATTAATTAAAAGGGAAAGTGCCAAAGTTTTTTGGGACGTTCCAAAAACGAAACATGACAAAGTTTTAAGGAACGGAGGGAGTACTTTTATTCCTAGATTGGATGCAGTTTGTATACGAAACAATAGTTTTGGGAAATAATGACTTACCCTATTGGGTGCCGTAGCATGATATTTATAATAAAACAGAGTTTTGGAAATTACAAAGTAATCTCTAACTATTACATTATTACACACTCTCAATCTGTGCAGAGGAAACAACGCGCAGATTGGTACGTAAAAACTCAAAGCGCTGACTAGACAAGTTCTTAGTAAAAATATCTGCTAACTGCAACTGTGTGGGAATGTACTTAACCACAAGATCTCCATGCGCCACGAGTTCTCGAACAAAATGATAATCAATCTTGATGTGCTTGCTGTGATCATGTTGAATTGGGTTTACCGCCAAATACGAAGCTGAAACATTATCACAATAAAGCTGAACAGGTGAGGAAATAACAATCCCAATATCTTCCAAAATGGAGCGAATAAATAGTGTATCCCGAACAATATAACAATCCCCAAGAAATAATGAATATCCCCCAAATCCTTCATAGCAAACTGATGAGATAATTTTTGAATGACAGACTGAACGAAAGGTAAAGATGAGTCAGTGATTAAGATATCATCCACATATAAAAGAATATATACCACTTGAGAGTTAGAACAATAAACAAACATAGAAGAATCAGACTTACTTTGGGTAAAACCTCGACTCAAAAGAAACTCACTGAAACGATGAAACCAGGCTCGTGGAGCCTGCTTTAAACCATATAATGCCTTACGAAGGCGACAAACATGATGAGGAAAAGAAGGATGAACAAACCCCTGAGGTTGTCGCATGTAAACTTCCTCAGTAAGATAACCATGCAGAAAAACATTTTTAACATCAAGTTGACGAACAGACCAGCCAAGAGAAACAACAATAGATAACAAAAGACGAACAGTAGTAGATTTAACAATAGGACTAAATGTTTCAGTAAAATCAATACCAGCCCGTTGTTTGAACCCCTGATCTACTAACCGAGCATTATGCCGCTCCACAAACCCATCAGAAAAATATTTTATTTTATAAATCTACTTACAACCAACCACATTTTTAGTAGGATCCCAAGGTACTAAATCCCAAATTTTGTTAGCAATTAAAGCATTAAATTCATCAGCCATGGCAGCCTGACAAATATCACTCTTATTAGCCTGTGTAAAACAAGTAGGATCATCTAGGGGAGAGGAAACACTTAAGTTAAAAATGGGCTTGGGTTTAAAAATACCATATTTGGCTCTAGTTCTCATAGGATGAACATTAAGGTTTGCTGGTGGGTGAGTAGTTTGTTCGGGTGAGGAGGTAAGTGGTGGTGAGTCTGGTGAACTATCGGCAAAAGGTGACGAAGAGGGGTTAGCTAAAGGGGAAATAGGGATGACAGATTGACTGGGAAGAGGTATTGTATCTGGTGTGGTGGGTGAGGATGGTTCGGGCAGTGAGGAGGAAGGTGGTGAAGGTGGGAGCAAGACAGGCGACGGCATTACCGTCGGGGAGGAAGTATGTGAAGGCATGCGGAGCGATGATGAAATACAGGATATAGGAAGGGAGGTATTGGGAGAAGAAGATGAGGAAGTTAGCATAGGATACGGAAACACATTTTCATGAAACGCAACATCCCTACTAACATAGACACGACCAGTGGCAGGAGACAAATAACGATAGCCCTTGTATGCTGGAGCATAGCCAATAAACACACAGTGTGTGGAGCGTGGAGAGAGTTTATTGTGAGAGGCCACAATAAAATTGGGAAAACACAAGCAACCAAACACACGTAAAAAATTATAGTCATGAGGTTTATTAAAGAGCTTTTCATAAGGTGAAAGCCCCTTCAAAATGGGTGTTGGTAAACGATTAACAATAAAAGTGGCGGTATATAAAGCATCATCCCAAAATTGGCCAGGAATAGAGGAGTCAATCAACATAGTCCGAGCTAATTCAAGGAGATGTTTGTGCTTTCGCTCAGCAACACCATTTTGAGCAGGGGTATCAGGACACGACTTACGAAATAAAATGCCAGACTTTAAAAAATGATTTTGAAAAATTGTGTTATTAAATTCGTCACCTCCATCACTCTGAAAGATTTTAATTTTCAAGTTAAAAAGATTTTCGACAAGCTTCTGGAAATTAGTAAAATGGGTAAAAACTTCAGATTTCTTACGCATAGGATATATCCAAGTAAACCTAGAAAAATCATCAATAACAGAAACATAATATTTATAACCAAGGTTGGAGATAATAGGCGACTGCCAAACATCAGAATGAATAATATATAAAGGAACTGTAGTGTCATGAGTCACGTCAACAAACGATAGTCTGTAGGATTTACCCAACTTACACGAAACACAATCATGATGAAACAAAGAGGAACTAGTGATTAATTTATTTTGCCTAAGACTACAAAGAACTCTGTCTCCACAATGCCCCAGAAGCTTGTGCCAAATTGGACCAGGAACAACACGGGCTTGAAGGGCGCTAAAGGGATAAACATGGTCTTTATTAGGTGCTTGAAGAAGAAGCTCCCCCGTGTGATTGTCCTTTACAGAAAAAGAATTTTTATTAAAAATCACTTGACAGGCATTATCCGCACACAATTTCTGAACAGATAGTAAATTGTATTTAATGTGTGGGACATGATAAACCGAGTTAAGATAAAGCGAGCGACCATTAGTGACTAGCTTTAAGTTACCAACATGAGATATGGGTAATTTCGTACCATTAGCAACACATACTTGATTCGGGCCAGTGTAAGGAGTTTTATAAGAGAAAATACATTCATGAGGAGTCATGTGAGCGGAAGCCCCAGAATCAGGATACCAAACCGAATCATGTGTTTAACACGTGGGAAGGGCAGCAAGGGCAGGGGTACCAGAACCAGTAAAACGGGAACACTGAAGAGCAGAATGACCTGGAGAAAAACACAATTGACAAACAACCGGAGGAGGAGGAGATTGATAGGAAGTGTCCATAGATGGAAAACCTGCACTAAAACTGTGAGTAGCAGTAGAAGGAAAATAATCAGAATAATTACTACCAGACTTGACATTACACAATACCGAACCTGGGCCACCCGGATATGAAGGACCTCGTGGAAGTTGTTGTCCCTGTGGGTATGGAGGCTGTTGCGCGCCAGGTGGACCATAATATTGGGGATAACCACGGCCACCCCGTTCGCGGTTTCCACGTCCTCGGCCACCCCGATTTCCTCTGCCACCACGCGCTCCCCCTCCGCGACCTGAGTTGGCTGGAGCAGCACCCCCTCGACCCGAACCTGCTGGGATGGAAGGGTTGTCGGCTGCAAAAGCTTGGTGCACTGGCGCCGAATCCTGATTCTCCAAAAAATTATTCCGTTGTTCCTGTGCTTCAAGAAGGGATCTCAAATTCTCCAGTGTAGCATTCCCCGGGGAGTAAGATATGGCTGTGATGAGAGACTCATATCCACGTCCCAAACCAAGAATAGCAAATTCAATTAAATCTTTATTGCTGACTGGAGAATTGATAGCAGCTAGAGAATCAGTCATAAGTTTAATCTCTAACAAATATTGATCCATAGTCTGATTGACCTTCTTCTTCACATGAGATAATAACTGTTTAAGTTCTATGGATCGTGAAAAACAGGCAGACATAAAACGGTTTTGTAGACGATCCCAGATTAGTTAAGAATGCTTAAGATCATAGACTTCCATCAAAACATCTCTAGCAAGAGTAGCAAAAAGTCAAGAACGCACGGTTTGACTTTTTTCAATTTTCAGCCAGTGAGAATAATCTGGCAGATTAGGTGACGGAGCCAGAATGGACCCATCTACTATCCCAAAGAGGCTGTGGGATACTAGAAAGGACTCAAACTGTGTCCGCCAGGGCAAATAGTCCTCAACCGCGGATAAACGAGTGGTGACAATATTATTGACATTTGGTGTAGAAAAACAAGTAGAGATGCTAGAGATGATAACAGTGTTGGGACCTGTGAAAAAGCTGGTAAATAAGAATGATTGGGAGGCTGCATGGGAGCAACACCTTAACTGCCTGATAACGTGGGACCAGAAAATTCCATGTGCGACCCTCTAATTTCCGAAAAAATGGAGGAGTTGGGTTGAGATGCACCAGACGGCGTAGGAGTCCAATTGAAAGGTTCCGGCATATTGAATAATCTGTATGATTCCATGGTAGGTGTGTAGGTATTGGCCCGTTTTTTTCCTTTAAGCCCACTTCAACTCTTTTGCCCGGCCCCCTTTCTCTCGGTGATTACGCGGTCGTTATCTTTCTCCTTCATCCGTGCGATTCTTTCCTTCTCTACTCCTGTGTGATTCAATCGTTACTCCATTGAAGGTAAGTTACCATATTTGTCTCTTTGGTATGCCTATTTATACTTCTCTTTGTCGATGGATTCGGGAGAGCTTGGCTGAAACCCTCTTCTTCCTCTTTTTCGCACATTGACCGAGCTTGGTCGGAATTAGGCTGAGTTGGCCGGAAAATAGCCCGTTGGCTGACGCCCCTTTCCCCTTATAGACTGTAGTGGTGGTTCTTCATCCTTTGTGGGTGAAATCGGAGACCTGAGCTGGAACTTACAGTGGTA